CACTCCTAGAAATGTTCACCATTTCAGGGTTTTATGGCAATTTGCCAAGACAAATTTTTTTCACAAAATCAAAGCAGCAGTTTACAGTAATTTATGTAATTTGTTTTGTCACCATTTGTGCAAACATTCCTTGTTTTATAAAATAAAATCTTTTTTTGTTTTTGCAGGGTTTAGGTATTTCTGTTGAGTTCTGTTCTCATATAACCAGGGCGTTTGCTGTCAGCACGCGTGGCACTAGGAAAAACCGAGCAGAGTACGCAGTGGGTCATATGGGAAGTTCGGTATGTACTGTGATTTATGCAAATATGTTTTTGTAAATATACTATATATTTGACACTTTAAGCGAGAGGGTCGCCACCTGTGCATGCGACGATAACAACATACGCTAAAAACGCAAAGGCTGGTTGGTAAGCGCTTGTTTGTAAACAATGACACACTATGGCCATCTGGCGTATGTGCAGGTGACGACTCCCCGCTTTAATAAAGTCGAGAAGCAACAATGACATTGCATTGTCTCAGCATCTTCAATATAACATGTCTGTTCGAGTCATCAGCGGTCACTCTACTCACAAAAAACTACATGTACGGTTGTTGCTTTTTGTATATAGGAAACGCTCCTTCTCTGTCGTTGAAAAGCAATTTTGTGAATAATAATGATTGGCTCAATTTGAGAAAAAATGGAAGTGTAATAATAGTTATTCCTAATGCTGGCGTACATCATCTCTAACTACATTTGACCAAATTCCTATGCAAGTCGCATTCATGCAGCTTTCCTAATACAACCAATTAGAATGTATCTTACAAGAAATCAGCTTGTGACACAAGTTCTGATTGGTCGCTGTTCCTGTGAGATCTGAATGTGACTTGTGTATAGGTCAGATATTGTTAGACATACATTAGAGACTTGAATTAAAAGTTACTGGATCCTCTATCTTCTATGTGTCTTCATCAGATTGTGATTGGCCAGAATAAAACTCATGTTATGTTTGTCGTTCTGATTACTGCACTGTAAACCATTTTAATTTTTAGAATGACAAATTTTCACGAATCACTAAAAATTATCTGCAGGTCATACCGGTACTATTTCTACAAATTTTTGTATTCATGAATGCCAATAAAATCATCCAATAATGAAAATTTTTAAAGCGAAAATTAAGCAGTTTACAGTAATTTTTAAATCATTCATTCCTGCCATGTCTTCTCAATTGATTAGTCCCATGATGCAATGCATGAACAGTCAAAAAAATCTTTACTAAAATGTTCACGTATTACACCGCACTGCACTAACATATAGACTGTTTATTTGACAGGTTCTCAGTGGTATTACGTTGACAAAGTTTGTTGGTATACTGGTACTTGCATTCGCTAAATCTCAGATATTCCAAGTATTTTATTTCCGAATGTATTTATGTATTGTGTTATTCGGAGCCAGTCATGGTTTACTTTATTTACCAGTGTTCCTAAGCTATGTCGGTAAGTACTCTATATTCACATCAGTACTCTATATTCACATCAGTACTCTATATTCACATCAGTACTCTATATTCACATCAGTACTCTATATTCACATCAGTACTCTATATTCACATCAGTACTCTATATTCACATCAGTACTCTATATTCACATCAGTACTCTATATTCACATCAGTACTCTATATTCACATCAGTACTCTATATTCACATCAGTACTCTATATTCACATCAGTACTCTATATTCACATCAGTACTCTATATTCACATCAGTACTCGTAAACATTTGAGTATCTTGCTTTCGCTTTGATGCAATATTCTGTGCATATTTATGTGTTTTTTTACAATTTGTTGTCAACCCATTGACCTTTAACCTTTTGAATGCCAAATGTCTAATTTTGTCAACTTTCATAAACTAATTTTTTGGTGATTTTTCGCAAAATATTTTTGACTCCCATGTGCGAAGCACAAAATGGGAGTCTTTGCAGTTAGTGTGTCTGTGTGTGTGTGTGTGTGTGTGTGTATGACTGTTCCACTGCTATCTCAAGAACCATACATCGGTTTTTGATGAAACTTGGTGCATAGATGCTCTGGGCCAATGCGCAGCTTTGATTAGGTTTTGGTAAAAATCCATGCTCGTTAATTACCTAATTTGCATGATAATTAGCTAATTTTTAGCTGTTCTATGACTGTTCCACTGATATCTAAAGAACCACTCATTGGATTTTGATGAAACTTGGAACATAGATGCTCTGAACTAATGCTAGGTTTTGATTAGGTTTAGTTAAAATCCATG